AGAACGCTGCTGAAAATGATCTAGAATCCGGAGAAGAAAAGAAACTAGTACCTTAATCAGTCAAACGGCATTCGTATTGGCAGATAAATTAGCATGTGATTTTGACTCACGCGTGTATGATCACTCCAGAATCAATCTAACATAATTACTAGTAAAATGTCGTGATTGTCATTGGTGTCATTCTGAATGACATTATTTTTGTAGGATTCAAGTAAACTAAATTGAAGAAATACAAGCTTTCAGAAGGGCGCTTAACAGACATCAGACTTGGTGGAACTAAAAGCAGAATTAAATATCCTGCATCAAATTGAAACGAACGACAAAAGTGCATTACTTTACACAAATTTAATGAAAAACTGCTCGTGATAATGGGCAACCGAACAGATTTAATTGACCCCTTCTATTCGCAACGCCATGCACTAGGAGTTACTTGATGTGGGTTTCCTCACTATGTCTTTGAAACGAATCGCAATGTCAATATACCTTAGGGTGAATGGCAAACGATCTTTCCTGCATCACAGTTGTTCAAATATTTTCAACGTGTTCCACAAAATATATTTGTTGAAATAATTGAATTTAGTTTACGATATTATTTAACATTGACTATAACTCTCCTGTTAAATAATGTCACGACGTGAATTCTTCCAGTCATACTTTATCAGACATTTCCATACAGAAGCAGATCCAAGGGGATGATTAAGATCAAAATATCGTTTTGTAATTTTACTCACGATTTTGAAAATAATTAGTACTGATTGATTTTATCATAAACCAAAGTATTCCTATTAATCTCACGGGGATGATATTTAAAGAAAGTATTACTATTCTAAAAAAATATAAATTTCCCTGAACTTATTTATTAGATAGGGCGGTATAATTGGAATTGCTTCTCTCCTCAGAAATACTTTCTGTATATTCCTCAGTCTACATTATACACTACGCCACCAAGCCAAATGTACCAAATGCATTGGCCACGACCTTCGATCAGATTATCACAATTTGCATATTGTTTCAACTGTATACCTTTCGGGACTGGAGCACCATACTTCCGTTTGTGTTTTAATCCGCAGGAAAACTCGTTTGAATGCAAACGACGCTGAAACACGCAGCTGAAACAATACAAGCCCAAGGTCAATATATTTGCTAGTATTATTTGTCTTCTGTACGAGCGTACACAACCTAAAAGATGACGGGGGCAATTACATTTCTGCGTCCCTCAGGACCCTCTTTTTCCATTAAACTTTATTTTATATTCGTTATATTTTTCTAGGAGATAAAATATACTTAAAGGAGAATGAAGTATTATGTAATAATAAAATTAATTATTACAACTGATTTAATGTTGAACCATTTACAGAGATGTTTTGGAGGGCTTCTAACTAAATATTCTGTATCAGTTCCCCTAACGTCAGCTTAAAGAAGGGCATAAAATAAATTGATCGAATCTAGAGAAATAAAATGTTTTATTACGTAGGGCAACGGGGTCCCTTCCGAACTTTTCAGAGAGCCACGACTCTCCCATCCCCCGTCGTTCTGCTATTTTCTGCAATAGCAATAATAATAAAGGATTCTAAAATGAAACATTGCAACTCAACTTTATGTAATCATGAACTCCACAACAGCGAAACTAAGAACTTCACAGCAGTGAAACCAAGATATCTGTTCATGTCGTGAGTTTATTCGTCATGCTAATACAGTATGAGTTCAAATATTTGTAGCAATACGAAGTAGTTACTTCTACACTATATACATAATACGACCTTCCAATTATAGAAAATCCCTACTTTAGAAGTCCTGACGCCAAAACTAAAAGCGTTTTTTAATGAATTTTTTCGCTTGACCCACGCGGCAACTGAGGAGAGCGCTATTTGTTTTTCCACATCAATAGCCCTGTTCTGCTCAGCATCTTTTTATCCTTGCAATTTCGACGTATTATATTACATTTTTCCCCTTTTTACTTGTCACGCTAGTGGCAGTCGTAACTGATAACGAAGCCCTGATTTTGGAACAATGTACTCGTAACTGTTGTTTCAATACAGCAGAATGCCTTGTTATATGAACGTTTTCCAGTAATAGAAATTCGAAATAAAAGTAGTCTTTTACTACATTATTAATAAAAACAAAACATTAGAGCATTACTGATACATTTGTTTATAATTTTGGTATTTTACGAGTATCCGCCATTTTATCATTAATGAGCTACAGAACTTGTCACAATTGTGCTTATTGGCGCCATCAGAGCCACCTTAATTGCCCTTTGCAATCGACGATGCAATCGAATGTTGCGTCATTCAACCATCTGCACCGAATCAGTGACACCATCGTCTTTTCAAATCAACCGTCTCAAGATACCTCCCCAGTGCCCGCTGCCGTCTTCCTCGACAGAACTTCTGAATTCCATCACATACGGACTCCGTCACCTCTCCCATTACCACCAGCCTGCCATCCTTGATTCATCGCAGTGTCACCACCACCACCACCCCGGCCCTGCGGTGTCACCGCGCAGGATTATTAGGTCAGATTAAAGGGGTCGCCAGTTAACGGCGCGGCACCGCCGCCGGGGGCTGCGGACCAGCGACCATCGCTGCCTCGTTACGAGGCGACGCGGGCGGAGGTCAGGCACATCGCGCAGCTTTCCTTTGGAAGAGTTCTCCGAACGCAACTAACTAAGCTACTCCACGGTCAGTTTTGCTCTTCTTTTATGCATTACGCCAGCCGGCGGTGGAGGAGGAGGATGTCGCAAAACATTCCTTGGAGATTACGAAACGCGCGGAGGATGAGCCGCGTCTCAATGACAGTGATTGTGTGAATGGGAGGGACGTGTGCAGCTCGGATATTGCCTTTACGTACCGGCAATTGCTGTAAATTACTGTCTGAGGTTAAGGCAATCCCACTCACGGTCGACGATATGTCAAGATCTTGATGCGCTCCGCCCGTGAAACGATTTCAAATGTAACTCTGTCGTCTCTTAATGTTAGCAGAATCACATTCCCTTTCAAATAACACACTAGGACGAAAAGATACGCTATTGCGTTCGTGACGAATAAGCGTTGAAGGTTTTTGTGAATGAGCTGCGGAAATGACGACATTCTTTGTAATCCATTGGAAAAACCTGAATTAGTCGCATGTGGTCTGTCACCATGTCATGAAAATGAATGTTCGAAGTAAATATGCTTAATTTTTAACGCGTTTATTTTCTGAGAACAAAATAAAATAGATTTTAAAACTTGCCGATTAATGAATTAAAATTAGTAGATAACTTCTGCGGCTCTCCTCTTTCGCGAATATTAAAACCAAGGAATTCCCTAGACGAATTCAAAACTATGCACTGAATTCACAAGGTAATTCGTCGAAAGTTCTTACGTTCACGCAATAATTAAACGAGGGCCAATATATTGAAATGTAACTCCGAATTTAACAAAGTTGCATATATCTATGTAGAAATTATAGAGAGAATTCTTGAACACAAATAATAAAAAAAATATTATATGATGCGAGTAAATGCACCCAACTCAAACTGCAATAATTTGATACTTAATATAAGAGAAAAGGTGGAAAAAAGTACTTAGCACTCAGTAAAAAAGATAGAATACAAATTTTTTGAACCGAATTTTCATAATAAACCACAACTATAATGCGAGATGTTCCCATCTTGTGTAAAGTGTAGAAGGTATGAAATAAAAATGATGTTCAATCACATTTTTGATGATATTTAGCGGTAAGGTTAAACGAATATTGTAGCATTCCATCCAGGAACGCCGATACTGTGCATTTCGGTCACACGAAAATACGTTCGTAGGTCAACAGTTTTTTGTAGGGTTCCATGGAGCTTACAAGGTTTTTTCCACTACTCATTTCATTGTCTCTGATCATCACAAACATGGCATATTTCTTCATATCGCCATCTCAGCTTGAGTGTTCTGTCATCATGGTACGCCTGCATCTTCCTAATTCCGTGGACCACAATACTTATTCATACACATGTCGGTAATCTGTATAACGTGCATAACTAATTGACGGTAGCGGATTACGGTATCAAATAAATTAATTTTCTTAAATTCAAATTCCAGTTTAAAAGTCAGTCAACAACAACGTTTAATTATAAAAATGACTACTGACTAGTTTTGAATGTACGTGGTCTTTATTCTTTGCACAAAAATTATGTCTGAAAAGAAAGAAAAAAAAGACAAACAAACAACACCTGGAAGGTAAATTCAACCGAAAAAAATTTACTACCAAAACTTACTAATCATGAGTAATAAAAATCAAAATATAAATATACAATAAATTACTGCCAGAATTGCTTGCATATACGAATTAATGCATTCTTTCACATCTCATTTAACCTTCAAATGAAATTGGTAAAAGCGTATTCATCATCTGGAGGTGGAAAAAAAGAAGTGCACGAGGTGAGGGCAGGATGTGCGTAATGGCGGCGGGGGCGAGGTCGAGATGGCCAGTCATTGAGGCGCAGGGGTCGGATGTGGGTCAAGAACTGCGAGGAGGCCCCCTCGCCCGGGGCGGCCCCCGTTCACCAGACGCGCCACGCAGGTGCAGCGGTCGGCACGGGGCGCGGCGCGGCGCACAGGCGTCAGAGGCAGCCGACTGATTGCAATGCCGACACACATTTTGTCTCAGGCGGCAGAACGCGTGTGAACTTGTTACGCGTATGAAACAGCCAAATTCCAGTCATTTGAACATGACTGATGGTGCTCTGAAATCTTTTCAGGATGAATCTTTTGAATTGAAGTCAACACAAGTGTCAATATTCATGTAACCTTTAAATAGTGAAACCTTGTACCCTTTATATGGGTTCGTATTGGAGTCATAGTAAAATGATTCGCATCTTACTACTTATGCTAGCCTGCAAGCTAATTGTCACAAAACGATGTTACAAAATGTAACTACACACTTTCCATTATATGTACGCTTCTTTAAATTGAAAGTTGAACTCCACGCATAATTCTTTATTACCCAATGAAAGTTTGCATGTTACATACCTGCTGTCGTCGCCTTGAAAACCATCTAATTCGAAATACTCAATTAAGAGAATGGAAATTCCTTAACGTCTTCACCATCACACATTTTCCCCCATTCCATTATCGTCACAAAAGTGCAGTACACAATGAATCCCACGAGGGAATCACCACAGGGCACAAATGACTCACGCACTGTCTATGCCAATCACGGAAGAATGAAAGTAAAATGTGAACACATTGCCAGGCAGAGAAGTCGTTCGTGAACGAACTAGTTGAAATGAACTTATCTTCGCTCGGAAAGAGCCACGAAAATTCTCCTTCAACTTGAGTGTGGCCTAGATAGAGGTGGGTGAACTGTTTATCCTGTTGCTGCGCCATTTTCGACTATTCTTCTGGTTAATAGAAGGGTTAATGATGGTGGTAAAAGTCAAAATCTTAAATTATTTATTCGAGGAAATGCGATAATCTATGCTTCAGTCTCGTTCGCGAACTAAATGAACTTTCCACTCATTTAGTTCGCGAAAACGAAGTAACTCGCGAGCGAAAAGGACTCAATAGGTATATTTTAAAAAACAATTTATGAGTACGTGTGATGTAACAATTACTACAATGTAGCGATTACAATAATTTTTTATTACGAAACAAATTACGAGTCAAACGTACATTCTGCTGAAAGTAAGGATTAAATGCTAAACTTACTATGTATGCTAAAATTACAAAGTAATCGTTAGAAGAAATTGGATTTTTTACTCAGTTACTCCTTTACACTGAATATTACCCACACGTTTACGATCAGTCTGGCAAATGGATCTAAAAATTTGGAGATTTTCGAAAAACGCTGACACACCTTTCCAGGCCCTTTAAATCATCGTTCGTGGCGTATCTAACATTGCGGGCGAATAGCTTAGAAAAAAACCCAGTGCGCATACGTTACAATTTTGACTGGAAACAATGCCCTCACTATTTCCATCGCCTTCTGCATGGCATTTTCCCCTCTCGCTGCATGTGGTGTCGCCTTGCGTTCGTCTTCGTCGTAAGTGCAATTTGTTAATTTTTTAAAAATATTTATTTGTTACCTATTGATTGTAATAACATTTTTCAGGGAGTTCAATGCAATACTACATAACGTATAGACAAGATGACGACTTTTAATTGACTGCCAAATAGGTACCAATAATTTAACAAAAGTGTTACCACTAATTTTAATCATGTATTGAAAAATAATTATGAAAACCGCAAACACAAATTTTTAATTTGCGGAGGACGATAAATATTATTTTGAAACCTTGTTCAGATTCAAGAACGAGGGACATGGTTTAAACCTATTGTAAGATTCTGAAAAATGAGTGAAGTTGATAATTTGTTAGAAAATTTTTAAAAAAGTTAAGTATTGGAAAAAAATTAATTTTAAGTTCTTTGTGCATTCGTTTATTTGATATAAACCAAGACGCGTGTAATTTGTTAATGTGTTATTAATACCACAATATTCCTGGAACTCATCTACTAGAAAGAGAAACTAACGCAAAATTCTGAACTCTCCCTTTTTACCCTCTAGGGCGGGTATGACTTTGCTACATGGCCGCTTATGATCACGTCTTTGGTGCTGCGACGTCTGTTGCGCGCGACATTAAGCACAGTGTGTACTTGTGCGCGGACCTGGATTGACCTTAACGTAAATTTAAATTTACCTATTTAATGTTAAATTAATTGGTATAGTAAAACAATAATGGCAATATCAAATAAGAAACAGAATCTAGAAATGAAGCAAGCCGTTAATTCTAACATCTATTTTTCTGGAATAAAAAAGATGGCATGTTTATGTTATTATCTAATATTACTCCAAAATACCATTATAATTCTGGTTTTATTGAAAAATAAAATAACGCATTCAAAATAACAATGAATTCATTATTTTAATAACTTGCCTTCATGGCGTAATGATAGAAAACAAAGAGGTTTCTATGAAGGCAATGATACATAGATATAGATAAATAGATATAGATAGATACTAGATAAGAATAGTAGTAGAGACGAATAGCACTAGAGAATAATAAGGATAGTAGATAGATATAGACATAGGGGGAGAGAGAGCGAAAGAGATAGAGAGAAAGACAGTAAGAGAGAGGAAGGAAAAAAAGTGACTGTTCGCCTGCGCCTAGACAAGTCCCGTTTTTATTGATCGTTTTCTCATTGGGGCATCTATAGAAATATTAATAATTATAACACCTTATTTTCGTATTCAATTTTCTAAATTATCCTTTGCCATTTATTACCTACTTACTTCGCTTTCCTTATAAGTGCAGATACACGGAACACAAAATCGAATTTATCTGTGGACAATTGCTTGTTTCTATGTTCCCGGTTAAATCTGAATCAATGGATAGAATCATTTTATTGGTTTAGAGCGATCGGTGAAGTATGAATGCACTTTATTTCAATTAGGTCTCCATTACTGGAATCGCATTCAAGCTGACATGCAATGGACTTCGGCACAAATGAATGATTTACTGAAGTGGCAGATAGTAGCAGGAATAAATTAAAACATTCCTAAATAGGAAATTACAGTAGGTTAAGTAAATACATGCAAAATATAATACGAGTACCCGCGAATTTCGAGTATTATTTTTTCAAAAATTAGTCAAACCTTTGTTTAAAAGCCATGTCTCGTTAGTATGTTAATACGCTTTTTATGAATTCGACCGTAAAGTTGGCATTACATATTATATCATCCACAAATCTATAGCAGTCCGCGTTATTTTTTAAAGGAAGTGAATTTTGTTTTTATTATAATGCATTTCATTAGTTTTGTGTTATTCTCTTATATAATTAACATATGGTCATTTCCATTTAAAGTTGCTTATCAAGAGAAGATATTGCATGATACACATAGTAATTGTCTTAGGGAAACCATTACTTTTACCTTGTGGGTAAAATGTTTCTTACCATTCACCTGAATCAAAGAATTAAAAAAAGTGTTCCATAAACCATCAAAACAATGTTCTTCTGGATGTTTTCATGTACTATATTGAATTATTTCCATGTTTCCCTCGGTTCTTTAAATATGCTTTTTAAACTCAAACTACAAGAAGTCCAGCTAACGACATTATTGTTGTGCTGACGTACGTACATTTCCGTACATTATTACTCATCTTTCGTACTTCCTACTAATAACTACGTCCCCCAGTTCCAGCGTCATTTGTACTCCGACGTTGTAAGTTCTAATCGCGTTGGGAGTTGATTGTTGAAGCGCACACCCCGTTGCCCACCGTCCAGAGGATTAGCAGGCGCTGTGAGGGTGGGGATAAGGCTCCGAAGTGCCGCCTACGATGAAGCGTTCGCGGCGGGAAACTGTATATGGAGTTGCAAGCATGACTGCAGATAGCGGGGCTATTTGGATGAGGGCGAGTTGTGGAAACATACTTAAGACTCCGAGCAAACACAAGTCTATAATTAAGTGAACTCTGCTTTCATGGTCATTGCAATATTTTTTCTGCATTACTGTTCATACATGTTGAATGTATGTGTGCACGTCTAGAAAGCGGAAAAGAAATTTAATGTTTTTTTAGACGTTCAGGTGCAAAAGAAGAATAAAAAGAAAAAAACGAAACGGGGAACATCTGTGCATGCACGTATCTCAATTGAGTAACAGCTACGGCAGAAAATAACTGGTGGAAAAAGACAATCTGTTATTCGTAGCATAGGGCAGATAAATTCACCGACATGTCGGTCACGAGAAGAAAGAATTAACGGTTTCCGTAGTTCCTAACAATATTACAGGAAATTCAGAAAATATTTTGAATGATGTGAATGCCTCCGTACATTTGACGTCGACCTGTGATTTCAAGGAGCTAACACAGGAATTGGGATAGGAGATAAATGATGCAACTACGACGATGATTCAGGATATCTATTAATGACACCGATGTTAAGAGAGTTGTAAGGATTAAAGGAGAGGATGGTGCGAGCGAATGTTACGAGACCAATGATTTGAAAGGCAAATACGTGTGGGTTGAGATAACGTACCACTCCTTGCTTTGAAATGAGAAGTTAATGCAGATACTATATTCGTTTAATACAGCGGTGGGTGCACATGGGAGGTTATATAGGGGAGAAGGGACGGGTTCACCAGCACCGAAGTCGCAGTGTTGGTTGGGACGCGGTTGCGGCAGTTACTGTTATGACGGCGATATTATTGAAGTTGAACATGACGGTACGTTGATTGATTGATTGATTGATTGATGTTTCGGGTACGTGAAATTCTGACGTCATTAGAGCCGTTAACGCCATTAGACCATTGACGCCGTTAGAGTAGACACTGTATTATCTGAAAGGTGGGTGTAGTCCTTGCCCACTGTATGGTGAGATTCGGTACCGACCCACACATCGGTAAATTCCCTCTCTACGTATCTCCCCCAGACAGGCACCGTCCGAGCTACGACAAGCATTAACCACCCAATTGGTCTTCCGATGTGTTTAGTAGTGTTGGACTCGTTAAGTGTAAGTGTGCGTGGTTAGGGGTAAGGTGAGGACGAAGAAGACGTAAGATAAATCGCGCGTGGTCCCTGGCCAACTGCTTTGGCTTTCGCCTGCTATTGAGGGAGACCACGGTAAAGTGACGTTCAGAGCAATCGGCCGCTAGAGTTCTCCTCCAGACAGTGGTTGAATTAGACTTACCTATTTAGCTAATGTCGAAAACCCGCCACCTCTAATCCAACACACACACGCACACACACACAAACCCTAGGACCTCCAGATCAGAGTCGCCGCAGAGACAGCGACAATACCCTCTCAGGCAAACTAAGCCGGTGGCTGGCGGAAGGGATGGAACTGGGATGGCGATGGTGCAAGTGAAGGTCGCATTGGCGCTGACGAGGGCGGCGTCGTCGGTGGCGGTGCGGGTGGCAACGTTGATGGCAGATGGCGGCGTCGTTGGTGGCGGTGGCGGTGCGGGTGGCGACGATGATGGCAGATGGCGGCGGCGATCGCGGCGGTGGCGGCGAAGACGGCTGCGGCAGCTGACGTTTGTGACGGTGCTGGCGGGGGCTAGGCGACGACGGTGGGCGCGGGCGAGCGCGAAGTTGGCGGCGCCAGCGGGCGTGTGTACCCAGCTAACGGGGCCTTTCCGCTTGCCTTATCTCGGCGAAGAACCCCGCGCCGCCGCCGCCGC